TGCACTCCAATTTCATTCTTTTATAAGATTCATAATTTCAGTCCAGTAGCACATGTATAGAATGTATAAATAAGTAAATATATATATATATATATGAAGTATATAAATTCATAATCCTTTTGCAGATAGACTGTATGACCAGGAAGCTTTGAGGGGACTGCTGGTACAAGTGGTAGCACCTGAGAAGAGGCACGTGGATGCGGAATAGAAGAGGGGAGAGGCTGGGGACTTGCTGATTTACTGGAGTTCCTGCCTACCCTGAGGGTGACACAAGATGGGTAAGGCTGGGAAAATTGGCTTGGGGAAAGGCCTCTGGCCCCTGGTGGAAAGGCCGGGTCAGGAGACACTGCCCCAGCGGAGGGGAGGTCGCTCCTGAGTTGCCCCAGACCCTGGGGGAGGGCATTCTTGGAAGCCCAGGGCACCCAGGGTCTTTCAGGTGAGGGGCGAGGTGCCTGAGCTGGGAAGCCTTCCTGAGGTGGAAAGGGGAGGTCCCCAGGGTGGAAGAGCTGGGAGGGCGCTGGCTGGAGCTGAGGCTGTGGAAAGGAAGGTCAGGGAAGTTGTAAGTATCTCTGACCAGAGGCAGCACCACTGCGGGAGTCTCGACATCCTTTCCCCTAGCAGGACAAAGACGCAAGGACAGATACACAGAGGCTTCGCTGTCATCTGGACACAAGAACAAGGATGTCTAAAAAGACAGTTTTCCCCGCCTGCACCCCCAACAGGCACGTAGCAATCCATTCCGGCCCAGGAAGCATCGACCTGCCCGCCGGACTCAGCGGGGCGAGGTCCCCTGAACCGGATCGGGCCCGGTCCCGGTCGGCGATCCTCTCCCTCGGGAAGTAGGCACCGCGTGGAAACTTCTGGCAGGTGTCTGCGGCCTCCCCGCCTCCTGGTAGCTGGGCCGGGCGAGGCGCGGTTACAGTTGCAGCTGCGTCGTGGAAAGCAGCCTCGCGGGTTTGCGGGGCGGAGCGACCGCTGACCACAGTGCGCGCGAGCCCGGCCTAGACCTGGGCGCAGCAGACCCGGCCTGGCTTCCGGTGAAGTCGCTGCAGTTTCCGAAGCCGAGCTGGAGGAGGCGCGGGCGGGCGAGGCGCCGGGGAGGTGGGCGCCTGCCCGGGGGGAGGGGGGGGGTCTCGGCGTTTGGCTGGGGTCGCAGACGGTGCAGTCGAGAGGGTCGTTGCAAGGATTATTGGGGATCAGCCAGTATAAGGAGAGGCGGCCAGAGACAGGGAGAGACAACCCTGGAGCCTTGGGGAGTGACATACAAAATTTTATTATTATTATTTATTTATTTCTCGTGTGCACAAAAAGAAAAGAAAAAAGAATCAGAACGAGCCGACGCGCGGAAAGTGGCTGCGAGACCGAGGCCGTCGGGGAGGCCGGCCGGGCCTCCGCCGCGCCGCGCTCCCTTACGCTTGCCCTTTCCTCGCCTTTCTGTTTTCTTCAAAGGCTCGAAGGGCAGAGATTTGGGAGAGGACTCCAGCCTTTCGGATTTGCTCAAGGACTTTTATTTATTATTTATTTATTTTCACTGTCATTGACTTTGTTTCTGTTATTCGAGTCGTCACGATCCACGGGAGGAGACATGCAGGGCGCATCGCCGCTACCGAGGGCAACTACGGGGCGGGGCGAGGCGGGCGGGGCGCGGGGGAGCGAGAGCACGGGGCACAGAGAAGGAGCCGACAAAACGGGCGGGGTCCACGGGACCATGTTCGTCCTTTTGCATAGAGATTTCTTCCTTAATTTTTTGTAACATAAAAAATGCCCCTCCCCCATCGTGCTGTGCTTGAAGTGGGCGTGGCTGCGTCCCGCCCTCGGCGGCACCGGGCACGCGCGGGCGGGCGGGCGGGGGCGCTCTACGGGGCGGGGCTATGTACACGGGCGTGG